CCTAACCGCTAAGAGACATATTTTCCTGATTTGGTCACTGTTGAGACTCATGGTTACGTTAAATCCTTCAGACAGGCCTCATCATCTTACTTAGAGTGGTCTCGATTGTTGCCACAGACTACCCAGTGTTTGATGTAATCCCTTAAAGTCTCACCCATTAGGGTTCATGATGGTGTAGCCTATGTTTCTAGTTCATGTCCTGAACAATTAAGGGGTGGAGTTGAGGAGTCCAACTCCAGGCTAAAAATTTACGTAATTTTTTGGGGGCCCTACCATTGACAATTATAAAGACTTTATCACACAGGGCAAAGCTACCCTCCCAACTTGGTGCACAGCCAGTGCATGGCAGTCTCTGAAGGGAGTTGCAGTCAAGGACTCAGCCCCACCCCCCTTCCATATCTCTTTGAGCTAGGCACTCTCTCAGCTCAAGTGACTCTAATCCAGTCACCCTGAGGTAGAAAGTGTGGCATTATTTTCCTCCTGAGTGTTGCTTTGCCTCTGACGCCCTACAGGTACATTCCTATATCCTGAAGATCAGGAAAGAAAAATAAAACAAGGATTATGGATCAGGGGGTTCACAAATCCGTAGATATTCCGGGTTTCAGATCTAGAAAAAGGAAATGGTAGCCTAGAAAGAAGTTTAGCTCCTGCAGGTTTTTAATAAGTTCTTTCATGTAGACGACCAAAACTGAGGCTATTATCTGAAGCCAAGAATGGGGGATAGGGTCCCTGATCAAAATGTAAAGTAAACACGTGTGCACGCACACACACACACCAAAAATCTGGTATCAAATCATTTTCCAGATTAAAGTTTACAGAAAGTGCTTTTCCTAGAGATATGAGAGGATACAAACACATTCTGCCCTCGGGAACTGGACCCATCTTCCTTCTGTTTTAGAAACTAGGTCTATCATATTCATGAAATCATCGCGGGATCAGGATCAGAAACTGCCACATTAAACTTTGGTTCAGGGCAGAGTACCTAGGAGAATAGGAGAGGTAACTGGAAGGATGAGCACTAGAAGAAAGTAAGAAAGAAAGAGAGAAGTCAGAGGGGATCTCCCACTCAGAATGATGCTGCAAACCACTGGGATAGGTGAAAACAGGCAGTGTATATGTATATAACAATGTAGCCTTAATATGTAAAATATTAACTAAGAAGCAAGGAGAAACTAACAAAATAAAATGAGACATTTAAATGCATCTATTATTATTAATATATCTAGCAGATTAAAATTTCTCAAGAGTAGTGAGTTTGACAAACCTAATTTATAAACTATGGAACTTGGTGTAGTAGGCAGAATAATGGCTGCCCAAATGATGTCCTCACCCTAAACTGCTGTGATTACATTAGGTTGTATATCAAAAAAGAATTAAGTTTCAGATGAATATCAGATGAAACTAATCATTAGACCTTAAAATAGAAATATTATCCCTGATTTTCCAAGTGGCTCAAATGTAGTCACAGGGGTTCTTAAAAGCTGGAGAGGAAGTTCAGAGGAGGTGAGTCAGAGGGAAATCTGAGAATGGAAGGAGGGCAGAGGTGACATTGCTGGCTTTGAAGATTGAGGAAAGGGGCTTCTAGATGCCAGAAAAAGCAAGTAAACATTCTTTTCTAGAGCTTCCGGAAATGAATGCAGCCTTCTCAACATCTTGATTTTAGCCCAGGGAGAACTATGCAAGAGTTCTAAACTACAAAACTGTAAGATAATAAATTTGTGTTTTTTTTTTTGTTTTTTTTTTTTGCAGAGGAAAATGAGCTAACATCTGTTACCAACCCTCCTTTTATTTTTTCTGAAGAACATTTGCCCTGAGCTAACATCTGTTACCAATCTTCCTCTGTTTTGTATGTGGGCTGCCATCACAGCATGACCATCAACAAGTGGCGTGGGTCTGTGCCTGGGAACCGAACCTGGGTTGCTGAAGTGGAGCACACCAAACTTAACAACTAAGCCACTGGGACTGGCCCAAATTTGTGTTGTTTTAATCCATGAAGTCTGTGGTAATTCGTTATAGCAGCTATAGAAAACAATCTGCATCCAACAAAAAACAATATTTGAAATTTTTAAGAACATATGGACATCTTAATCCATTATTGAGGAAATTAAAATGGAGGCATATATCATATTTATGTATAATATTCGTAATAAGAATATACAGTATTATAACCATATAAAGTATTTCTATATTGATATATAGATTCAGTGCAATCAAAATAAAAACTCTGAGTGTGTATGTGTGTGCGTGTGTAAATTGAGACACCACTTATAAAACTTTCATGGTGATGCAAAGTGGCAAGAATGGCTAAAAAATTTTTGAAGAAAAAGTTGGAGCACTTACATTCCAATATCAAGAGTAGAAAATTTTAACTGTAAATGTACAGTATTGATACAAGATTATACAATTAGAATAGACTAATTGAAGAATACCCCAAGTACAGGAACATTCTTGGGCCTCTGAGAATTCTATCTCAACTGACTATGTCTGAATCATCTATATGGAATTTCCTAGGGATGCAATATCCACAGCTTACTAAAAACACTAAGCTACATTCCATCTCAAGGGAAAGGAATTAATATGCGTGACTTTATCCCTTGTCTGGGAATGGGAAATGGAGGGGCCCATATAACCTGAGTTCTATCTCCTAGGAATTCAAGGAAATGCATAAATATTTTCATTTTACCTCTTACAGAACCTCTCCTAGCCTAAAATTTTACTTGCTTCCTTCTAAATAAGATATTTCCCACTACTCCTGTAAAGCAAGAGACAGAAGGAAGAGTTTGGTGAGCTGAAAACTATAGTTAATCAGGGAGGAGGAAAATCCTACACTAGCTCTGGTGTTTTTGTCAGATAATGTAGTCTAGCATATACTCAGTGTCGCAGTAGGAGCTGTGCCCTGGAAGACAGGACTCTGGGAGGAAGGATCCTTCTGACACCAAAGATCCCATAATAAGGAGGCAGATGCTGGCAGGAAACTATTGATTTCAAGTGCAGACTAACTAATATGACCAGAAATGCAGCAGGGAATTCAGAAGAAGGAAGAGATCTTTGGGTAAAAGAGCTGAGGTCAGAATAGGATTTGATTGAAGCAGCAGACCTTGGTTTGAATGTTTTCTTTTGCTTTTCTTTTCCTTCATAGTTTTAACGATTGATGATGTATTGTTCTCTTCTTTGAATTTATTCCCTGTGACCCTAAGAAAATGTGCTTCATGTCAAGAGGCAGTGATTCTGTGCTCCACGAGACTGAGTTGCAATCTAGCCTAAATTGTAGAGACATTTTGGGACTTTCCCAGTCTACCTGCTCTTCATGCCCTAGAAGATGATGTGACCATTCTTTCAAGGAGGATTTCAATGAAGACTCTATTGCTATCATTATTCTAATGAAAGCTCAGAGCCTGTAGGAGTTCTGTCTGCATCAGATCTGGAGGTGTGACTCAGAACATACATTCTTTTGGGTCCAGGGGTGGGGGAAGCTGCTTTTGGACAGTGGAAACTAGTTACATTCTTCTTAGTAGATATTTTGTTCACTTTGGCTAATTGAGGACTCTGGCAATGAGGAAACCATCCCCTAAGTTAGAGAAGCTGACTATGTAAAGCTTTGACTGGGGTTCTGGCAGAGATGTCACAAAAATCCTACATGGCTTGAACCCTTCTCCCCTCTTTGTGCACAAAACTACAGATTTCTGACAAACAATAATATAGAGCTGTTATGACTTGTCCACAAAATCCACTTCCTTTCTTTAAAAGCTTGTTGAATTACTTAGTAAATTTGTTGGGGTGGGTAAGAACTAAACCTCTCCAAGACTGGTCTAATGATGGCTCAAATTGTGCTGGACCTCTTCAGTGCTGTGCTTCCTGGTATCGATGCTACTGATTCCCATTTCAAAAGTACTTCATAAACTAGATCACACAATAGAGTTAAAACTCAAAGGATATTTTCAATGCAAAAGGTACCTCCAAAAACAGGATCTATTTAGTGCAAAGGTGAAAATTCCCAAAGATGGGGACCAAGCCCTGGCAGACCAGAAATGAAAACATTGGGGTAAAACTTTATTATTCTTTGTTTCACGTCTAGGAGGTGAGAATCTGCTCTGCGTTACTTTGCTTAGGCCAAATCCCACTGGTCCCTATCTGTTAGAGAGGCATTTCCAGCCTCACTGATGGGTAGAGCTGTCTCCCGTACTAATGTTAGGGAACAGAGTCTTCCAGGCTTAGGGCATTGCCCTTGAAGCCCTAAATCATCCTCTGAGCTTACTGCTCTCTGCCCGAGTGAGGAGAATGCTGCTTTCTTGTCCCTGTGCATTTTCTGGTAGATACATTCTCTTATACTCATATCCCAGTAAGCATACCTCCTAATCTGAATCACATTTCAATTCCCGTGTGACAAAGCTCCCATACCACCCACAGTACTGGAATTGGTCCTTTCATTTTCCTTCCTTTTCTTTATCTTTTTCTTCTGCTTTATTGAAACTCTTCAGTTTATTTTATCAAAGCCATTGTCTGAAACGTAATATTTGCTCTATCAAAGTCAATTACTCCCCTTTCCTCACTGCTTATCCCATTTAATACTTTTAATATTTCTCTCTCCCTCTCTGTCTCCCTCACACACACCTCCTTCCTTCTCATATATATTTCTTTTTTTTCCCATTTGACCCTGGGCCTATACTAAATAATCTCCATTAATAAAAGGACATAGTTATTCAGGTTTAATCATATAAAATTGCTGACAAAAAAATAACCGTTTCACATGGTTTATTAATAAATATAGAAAGAAATGAATTGGGGCTGATGGCAAAGAAAAAGGGCAATAACAAGTCAATTCTATAGGTGCCAGCTCAAGGGGACAGGAGGTGGCTTCTCATGTAGGAACCCTGAATGTGACAGTTGCAGTCCTCAACCAGGTGCAGCACCAGAGTGAAATTCTTATCTTTCACAGCCCATTCTGACAGCTGATTTCTCCCCAGGGCTCAAAAACCCGTGGATCTCAGATTGAAGAGACCATGTATAACTTGAGCTGCTACACCCCCAGTTCCTTCATCCTTATTGGAATACCTGGCCTGGAGAAGTTCCACATCTGGATTGGGATTCCCTTTTGTCTCATCAATAGTGTGGCTATTGTGGGCAACTGCATCCTCCTCTACCTCATTGCAGTTGATCACAGCCTCCACGAGCCCATGTTTTTCTTCCTCTCTATGCTGGCTGCCACGGACCTCATCTTGTCCACTGCCACAGTGCCCAAACTGCTCAGTAACCTCTGGCTTGGCTCCCAGGAAATAACCTTCTCTGGTTGTCTCACTCAGATGTTCTTCCTCCACTTCAGCTTTGTAGTGGACTCAGCCATCCTGTTGGCTATGGCTTTTGATCGCTATGTGGCCATCTGCTTCCCCTTGAGATACACTACCATCCTGACTCCGCAGGTGATCATTAAGCTTGTGGTGAGCATTGTTGTGAGGAGCTTCTCTGTCATCCTGCCAGATGTTTTTCTACTGAAGCGGTTACCCTTCTGTGGGACACGTATCATCCCACACACGTACTGTGAGCATATAGGTGTTGCTCGGCTTTCCTCTGCTGACATCTCCATCAACATCTGGTATGGATTTGCTGTGCCTCTCATGACTGTCATCTCAGATGTGATTTTTATTGCTGCCTCCTCCTTCATCCTTCATCCTCCACGCTGTCTTTCAACTCTCATCTCAGGGTGCCCGCCAAAAGGCCCTCAGCACCTGTGGCTCCCATGTCTGTGTTATCCTCATGTTTTACACACCGGCCTTCTTCTCCATCCTTGCTCATCGCTTTGGGCACAATGTCCCGCGAAATGTGCTCATCCTATTTGCTAACCTCTATGTGGCCATCCCTTCTGCTCTAAATCCTGTTGTTTATGGAGCGAAGACCCAGCAGATCCAGGACAAATTTATTCTCCTCTTCTCTTTGAACAAGACACAACGAGTGAGGAGGGCCACTGAAGGAGAAATTTAGGTAAAATTGATTAGGTGAAATTTTGTATAAGGCAGGAAGACATAGAAGTAAAGTTGTAACTCCTATTAACTTGACATTTTAGAGTTCCAACCACTTGCAAAGTATACACAAGAGGGAAAGAGGAGAAAGAAAATCTTCTAGACTTCTAGAAAATCAAGAACTTTCTTGGTTTAATTTTCTCACCACTTATATGAAGAAAGTGATGACGGGTCCAGAAGAGCACTAATAGTAAGGTTTACATCTTTCCTGCTGCTGCTTTTGAGATATTTGAAGGCTAGATATTTCCTAATATGCAACACAGCCCTGTGCTTACCAGTTCTTGAATTAAAGGCAAAGCCTCCTGCCTTCCCTCTTTAAGTAGCTGTCAATTCTCTCTACTACAACTACCAAACTTACTGCTTCACACTTCAGTCCTCATTCTATACATTGTTAATCCCTCCTCCTGTGTCCTTTAGTTATTTTACTTTTTTCTCTACCCATCTCAGATCTCATAGAGTTGATTATCTTTTGTATCTATTTTCCTCAATTACATGTTCCAAGAAAATTTTCACTACTCGGCCCATATTTTACAAGTATCAACATATTTAATTTAAAAATAATTATGAGAGGAAAATATTATTTAATTCATTTCACAGATGAGGCAATACAGATTTATAAAGATTACAGAAAGACAATTAGTAAATTTAAAATCCAAATCCAGGTCTGCCTGGCTCTGGATTCTTTATCCAATTGCTTCCTGGATATCTACTCACTTGAATGATTCACATACTCCTTGAACTTAATTTCTCCAAAGCTGACTTAGAAATTTATTAACTTCCTCCATAAAAAATGCCCTTCCTTTTCTGTTTTCCTTTACCATAAATGGCAACACCACAAACATGAACTCTAAAGCCAGAAACCTGTGGCTTGTTGTTGGTTTATCCTGCATCATTCTCTAACAAAATGGACTCAATTCTTGAGTTGAATAGTTGAATTTGAAGTCATTCCAGTAGCTATATTCATCGCATTCTCATATGGCTGTTGAACTGGTCTGGGCCCTTATCTATTATCTGTCTCTCTGTGAATATTTCAAAGTCATCTTTTTAAAGGAGTTCCAACCCTGCTCCATCCAATCCACTCTTTCTATAAAAACCGAAATGATTATTTTACAATTCACATATGATTGTGTCACTTTGCACCTTGAAACTCTTCAATAATTCCATTGTCTTCAAGATTATGAGTAAGTATGGTCCTTAGGATCACTGCAGGGGATGGAAGACTAAGGGAAAGAGCAATCTTCCATGGAACTCAGAGCCTTGCTCTTAATTCACATTTATTTACACTTCATTTATGTTTATTTTCACTTCATCTACACTCCCCTGGCTCTTTGAGCAAGTAATTCCCAACACGATGTTCTTCTTTTGTGTTGTCATACTCAGTGTCTTGTTCCTTTACAAAAAATAAAACTTGGTATGAATAGAGTGTGTAGTGTGTGGAGTTGGGTGAGAGCCATCTATACTCTTCTTAAGAAACTGTCGCAGGACAAAAACATCTATCTCCTAAAATCTCTGCTGGAAAAGAAGCCATACATTTAATCAAGATGAACATATCAAATTATTTGTTAGTAAGAAGTAACGAGTAAACTGGCATAATGAGATAAAATTCTCTGTGTGTGTGTTGATACTTTCTTTGCTGTCTGTAATGTCCTTCAGGCAGTTCAGAAGAGACATATGCAGGGGCTGCTTTATTCATGCCACTATTATAAACCATCATACTTATTTGCTTATGCATTTATGTATCCACACCTTTATAGTGAGCTCCTTGAAGACAGAAACTTAGTCCTAGGCATCTTCTTATACTCTGTCTTATGAAAATATCTGACCCACCGTGTGTTCTCATTAAAGGTTTCATACATATTTAAACTTCATCAGAAATGCCTGTTCCATCCACTATCCCTAACTTTTCCTTTCTTCCTTCTCTGTCCAGTTTAGATTCCATAGTATATTATTTCAATCACTATCTTGTTTATCCTAAACTCAACTTGTCCTAAACTCAACTGTCTCTCCTACATACTCAGTTGAAAAAATATTCTAGGGATTTTAATCAAGTTAGCCTGTATTTTGGGGAAGTTGGAGAAAATGACCCCACAGGGCAAACTGATACTACTGTTAATGAATTAAGACAGTACAACACCATACTTGTCTACTCTTTATTCATTGTTTGACAGTTTCTATTTAGGCTTCAATTAAAAATCTTTCCTCAGATATTCCTTCTTTAATCCTGCATATTAGATTAGTATGTCTTGTATACATTCTCATTACACAATGTACTTTGTATTTCAAGCCTTATCACAACTTTAATAGGGTGACTGCTTGTATATTTGTCCTTTAATGTCTATCCCCTCAGCTATGTCATCAGGGACCAAGTTAATTCCTGCCTTGTTTACCATTGCATTCCTATCACTTGCAATGCTCCTAGTTCATAACAGGTATGTAACAAATATTTGCAGAAGTTTTTGCTGAAGCAAATAAGTTTTAATTAATGAATGAAATCCCTATTTTCATAGTGCGACTCTACCTGGATTTGTAACTCAACCTAATCAGAGAAAATGTTGGAAAGTCACAGAGAAAGATATTATCTCCACAGTAAGGTAATAGATGTTTCCTCACTTATTCCTCAGAGCTCCTCTTTCAATTAAGCATTTCCAAGTATTATTCCCTTTTCATAGGCGTGAAAACTGATTTCCAGAACAGTTAAATATTTTGTTAACATACAAAGGAAAGGATGAGTTAAACAAGGGATGAGTTCCGTATTTTTGGCCACTAGACATTGAAAGTCGACTTCCTCTTTGGGAAGTTGTATGGGAGGTTGATGGGAGGTTGTATGGAGTGTTTTCCTGTTGGGAAGATGAGACTGTAATCAAGCTGGCTATCTATGGTTTTCAGACTTGCATGCACTTTGTGTTAGAGATTTTCCCCACATAAACAGATTACTAGCCTGTATATTACATAATGGACTGAACACAAAGGTAGTGATGCTTTTCCATGGAGGGAAGATGGAGAGAACTGCCAAGCAAGACTGAACATTGACATAAGTATCTAACAAGAGAGGCCTCTTCACACCTGGGGAAATGGCAGCTACAGTGAGAAATGTCTCCAGGGTTTCGGTATCTAAGGCTGGAAGCAGATTTATTTCAATTTAACAGATATTTGTTGATTGTCCACTATGAAATAAGCTCTATCAGAGATTCAGAGGGAAATGCAACAATCCCTGTACAAGAAGTTTTAGGAGTTCTAGATTGGGCCTGGAGACATGGTAGACATGGAAGATCTGACTCTTGCTATAGCATCTTTATCAAATTACTGATCAAGCTAGATCAAGACCCTGCAGAGACTCAGGTATGCTTTCATCCTGGATTCCAAAACTCCCAAGCCACCACTGATTTGAGCAGAGATGTAAGTTCCTAAGCTGGGAAAGTGTTAATTTGGTTGAACCCTTGCTCGTGTCTTAGACTGAGTTGGGGCCTTGGGCCCTGAGGCCCATAGGTCCCCTTGGTTCAGAGGCTCTCTGTTCTAACTTGTCTCTAATCCCTGGAGAAGACGAGGAAAATACATTTGCACTCTACTCCTCCGGGCTCTGTGTTTGTTCTTCCCTACTGTGAGCATGACCCTAAGTCTGTCTTTTTTGTCCCTGTGTCTATCCTTACTGATTCAGAGACTGCTTCTTTTGTTCTCTGGTCTGTTTTTTGCCTGCTGTCTTTCTGCACTCTCTGGTCCTTACCCTGCCTTTGCAAAACAGTTCCAGGACCACGACTTCCAAAGTATAAGCTGGTGGTGAGCAATATAGAACTATTAGGGAGTAAAGTTGACAGGGAGTAGAGCTCATGATAAGTGGAGCAGATGGAGAGGATAGAGAGAGCTGGTGGAGGGCTCTAGGAAATAAGACCTAGATTAGAACTTTGAATATAGATTCTAGAGCTGATACTCATGGTAAGAGAATGATGTGAAAGAGAAGTGTCTCATAAGAGCTTAATTCTAAGCCTCTCCCATTGCTCTCTCCAAAACATTTCTAGGTTTTTCTAAAGGTTAAAATTTATAATGCTAAGGATGTAAAAAAAAATTAAAATGAATAAATGGTAATGATAGACTTAAGCCTGGCCATATCAGACAGGGTCAAACCATCTGGAGATTGAAATTGCATATGCCACCTCAGAGAATTTTAGGTTATTTTATATGTGTAAGCATGTTTGTATTTGTGAGTACATTTATGAATGAGTGTCCTGTTCTTTTGGGATAATGTCAGCAAGTACTAAGATATCCACCCACCCTACACATCATGGAGGGCACAAATACATAATGGAATTGAATAGTTTCTTTCTAGAATGGATCTTACAACCGTCTTTCTGTGACCCATTGACCAACTGTGGATAATCCTTTCCCTAAAAAGGGCAGAGGAGAGACCTTCACATAGACACACAGTATAAAAAAGAGAAATAAAGGACAAGGTATGGATTACAATGCTTCATGATCAAGATATTATTGATTGCATTTACTACTTTTTTCTCTTTTGAAAATAATTGATTTCCAATTTGGGATATTTAATATACTTGTATTAATTATTTCTTATTCAATTGATAATGTGTTTAAGACTAAAATTTTGCATCTTAAAGCAGGTTCTATTACTTTTTGAAATTTTGCCATTTAGTGAGGTCTTTGGTGGTCTTTTCTAGTCTATATCTACACATTTGTTTCTCTACCTTACTTAATGCTTGTTGCTTATTTATTCACCTAAATGTACTTCTTAAAAACCTCATTCTCATACAGGTTTCAGGTACATACCCTTTTAATGCAATTTAGAGGTTTCATTGTGATTTGATTTACACATATCTTTTTGATTCATGAGGAATTTTATTTTACTTAATGTAAATGGTGGCTCTAGCTACATTTCTTTCACAATAAATAACAAATAATTTTCAAACTATTTGAGGGATAATCGTATTTTCTCACTGATTTAATTCTTCC